GAACCGAGAAACGTCCCTATTACTGGTCTGTAATGTGGTCGTGTGGGAGGTTGAGAGATGCCGTACCTTACCCTTTGCCTCTTTCCCCCCCTGCAACAGATGAGAGAGGCGACTCTGCTCCTTACCAGCTGCAGCACTCGGGAAACGGGTCCTGGCCCTCGCCTAGGAATCACAGCAGAGCTGCCCAGTGGTCGGAGGTGAGCAGAGGACAAGTGTCCCCATTGCTCATCAGACATGTGGTAGCGTGGGCAGAGGAGAGCTGCCCTCCCACCTCCTGCCTGCCAGTGCTGAGACAGGCCGCGGAGCTGGTCCTGTGGTCATAAGAGTGGGAGTGCTGTCCTTACCCCTCACCAGCTGCAGCACTCAGGAGAGTGGCCCCGGTGCCTCACCTGGGCAACACATTAGAGCTGACCATGATGATATAAATGTGAGAGCACTGACCCTGTGAACATGAAAGCCATGAAACCGATCCAACATTGCTACAAGAGATAAATTAGCCCGGGCAATGCTGGAGAGCGCACCCTGGTGGTGAGGACAGGAGAGAACTGGAAGGCAGACCAATCCTACAGCGGCCAGGCCCAGAACTAGGGTTATGACTTGGACTGCCCCAGCATCCACCCCAGCTATGACCTGCTGGAATATGTAAAGGGACCTGACTCACATATCCAAAGCTGCAGGATCTCTACAACACAGGATATCAAAAAGAGTCTCAGTGAGGGCCCAGCATCAACAATGGCCCAGAGACCTTGAACCAAACTAGTGGCTTTTTGCAACGCACACTTGTAAGTAAAGATATTGGACAAAAGGGTTCACTGTGTGACTCACTGTACCACACTGCAGCTTCCATAATGAGATTTTTAAAACCCCCCTTTTTTCTCTTAAATTTTGCTTTATTGGGGGGGGGCATGCAAAGGGTGGAGGGCAGATGTGAAGGAGTGGAAAATGAATGGGATCAAGATACATGATGCAAACGATGCGTAGAATAAATAAAGAGAAAGGTCAAAAGTATTTTAAATAGTGATGTGGTAGACAATAGAATGGATTCATACAAAGAATGCATTTTTACTTAACTCTGAATTCTTAAGTAAGCATCCTTGTGAAGAGAAAAAATGAATATACAAGTACTTAACATAGTGAATTGCAGCACCTGTACACTCGGCCTTTTTTTGCCTTATTAGACTCAGGGACTTGAACTCATTCTTTGCCTTCACATTATTCTTACTCTGGTATTGGTTCTACTCATGTCTGAACTACTTTCAAATATCAGTTTAAGACTTGCAAAATTCTTCTATTCTAAATTTTATGTCATACTGTAATACATTTCTTGTTGTTGTTGTTGTTGTTTCAAGATAGGGTTTCTGTGAATAACAGCCCTGGCTGTCCTGGAACCTACTTTGTAGACCAGGCTGGCCTCCAACTCACTGAGATCCACCTGCCTCTGCCTCTTGAGTGCTGGGATTAACAGCATGTGCCACTACTGCCTGGCTGTAATACATCTATTGTATATTGTAATTGGACACCAAAAGAAAGAAAGAAAGGGGTTTGGACAGCTGAAAAACATGGAAAACAGCACCTGCTGCATTTGGTTTTGGCAATGGGAGAGTCATGGTATCAGACTACCAGCTCTGAAACACTCAACGGTTTTGTGAGTGCTGTGTATATATATGCACGAAAATATATCCCAGGATTTTTTTAATTACAATTTGTCCTTAGTCAATCAAGAAAAATTTTCACCCAATAGCCAATCATTATTATGGAACTTGTATCCCACTTAAATACATGAAATAGTACTTTCATATTTTAGAGAAACTTAACATCCACAAAAGTAGCATCATTAAATGTGACTTTTAACTAAAAGGTTGACATAGAACTAAGAATCAAGATTATGAGAAGTTCATGTGCACATTTTTATTGGCTAGTATTCAATACTTTCTCAGAAATAATGCAGACGTCGCATATAAACTGTTAACACCATACACAAGTTTTTAGCCTCCACAAGTCATTTCCTTCCTCTTTCTTGCCCAGCCCAGACCATTCTGCCCCTTCAGCTACAATGCATGGTAAGCATTAGATGATCCTTTATAAATTCATGCTCATTGAATAATTCAAAAGGTAAAAAAGATCATCTTTTGCCCCATACTAATTTTAACACTTAAAAAGAAGAATAATCAGTATTATGACAATGCCAAGATGTGTCAAAGGTGTTACAGTGTTTATGGTGGAGTAGTTTGACGTGAAAGAGCTCTTGAAACAACTCATCTAAACCTCAAAGGGCAGGAAATATCTTCAATTGTCCTTTACTCTGGCTTCTCCTGGTTCTCTGCCTCTTGCTTGCAATGCTAATCACTCTTGGCTTTATTCTCCCTCTCATGGTTCTTTCCAGACACTAGTCAAGGACTTGTCTTCCTCACAACACTTGACTGCTATACAAATGGAACTATCTAAATACTTTTCTTGTCCCTTAGAAAGTCCCATGGAAGGAAGATCTCAGCTGCCACAGCCAATGACCCCACTCAGCTGATGGAGGAGGGAGGACCTTGGACTTCCCACAGGACAGGGTACCCTGACTTCTCTTAGAACTGGAGACAGAGAGAGGAGGGGAAGTGGGGGGGAGGAGGGAAATGGGAGGAGGGGAGGAGGTGGAAACTTTTAATAAATAAAAAAAAGAAAAGAAAAAGAAAGCTCAATAAACTCATTGGTTTCCTAGTGAAAGAAGAAGGAGGAGGAGGAGAAGGAGGAGGAGGAGAGGAGGAAGAGGAAGAAGAAGAAGAAGAAGAAGAAGAAGAAGAAGAGGAAGAGGAAGAGGAAGAGGAAGAGGAAGAGGAAGAAGAAGAAGAAGAAGAAGAAGAAGAAGAAGAAGAAGAAGAAGAAGAAGAAGAAAGAAAGAAAGAAAGAAAGAAAGAAAGAAAGAAAGAAGCTAAAGAAAGATTGATGTCTCAATTTCCTAGATAGCAGTTAGGGTTACCTCTTGGTGGGGGGGGCGGTGTATAAGAATGGGAGGTAGAAAATAATTTAACCTTACTTGGAAAAAGACGCTCCAAAATCAGTAGTTCCAGAAGTGTCCTTGTTTCTCTGGCCAAGAACATCAGATCTCGGGTTTCTTATCTCTTCCTAAATGAACAGCCCCCAGCTATAGGCTAAATTCAGTGGTGAGGACAAGGATTGCCATCCAAACTTAGAACCCTTCTGGCAAACAGTTTTGGGACAGAATCTCTACATTTTTTGATGAATATGGGTTGTACCCCAATTCCAGTATATTGCCTGAGTTTAGAGTTACTGCTTCAGAGGGAATATGTGGCAGTAAAGAATGGACTCTAGACTACAGCTCCCAGAATTCCAGTGGGCGGAGACTGCCAGAGTAGAGCACCCACCAGTGCAAAGAAAGGTTGGGAAAGCTGATGAAGAGCTTTTCTGAGTCTTTCATTGGTGAGATCTCCCATCTCCGTAGCTGCTTGTCCACCATGTGGCCGACCTCCACAACAGCTTAACTGGAACAACATAGCTTTTTTTTTTTCTCTTCCCCACCTTCCTCATCCAGACAACTGCCAGGATTAGGGTGTTTCTTTTGAATGAATAAAGTGGTTCCTGAGCTTCAGGATAAATAATAAAATTATATGCATAATGTTTACAGTTGAACTTGTATGTCTTTGCCCTCATCCTAGGTAAATAACTATGAATCTAATTACTTTTAGGTGTGGAAGAATTTACATATGACCGTGGTTACAGCACAACAATAATTCAAATCACACAACATTTGGGGGACTTGTAAAATGTGCCAGGTATTGTTTTGTGCATGCTGAGTATTCACTAATAAGTAAAACAGAGAAAAATTGTATCCTTGTGTTTCAAATCCCACCCTCACACTTCCACGGCGTATCACCCATCCATTCTTGTAATTAAGTTTTAGCAAGTACGTGTTAACCAATGTAACCTATGACACATCTTTTAAATAGTTTATAGAAATATGTAGTCTATATACATATATATGTGAAAACTTATTCAACCATTCGTTAATGTCGTTGGGTCTTTTTCCAGCCACCCTTTATGGACTGACCATCCATTTAGGTTTTGTTTTGATTTTTGCAATCATAGTACAATAAACACCAACACGTCAAAATCATAACTCTATCACTTATATACATAGATATAGCTTGTTATTTATAACACGCCCATCTTTCCCAATTGGATGCGCTGATTGGATCCTGCGTTTCTCAGGTAGGCGGCTATGGTACTATCCACCTGTGTGGTGCTGAAGAAGGAACTCCTTTTCAGATTCCAAACACCTGGTCTCCTTTCGCTGCTCGGAATCTCCAGCGGTCCAACCAATGTCTACGAGAAAGCAGTTCAGAATAACATCTAGCCTGCAAGTGCAAACTCTTCAGTGTCGTATGGAGTGCTCTGCGGTAGTCTTGTGGCTCGTCCTTCCTCTAGGACGGGGTCGCGACCTACACCTTAAGTGCCCTACTAGCTTACCTTTTACAGAACTGATTAGCTCGCCCCTACAGATATAAATACGTGTTAACTGATTACGGTGTCTTTTTGAGACAAGATCCGTATAATGGAAATAAACATATAGGACTCGTTCAGCCCCTCCCCCACCCTTTTCTCCCTAACCCGCATCTGTCTTTCTACCCGCACCGAATCTAGTGTAGCTTCCAGGCCACATGATAAGGAACGCTGCCTTCCCGGGTCATTTGCCCTAAGCTCTCGACAGGATACACTCATTTCCTGAAATTTAAATCACTAGCTGGCAGATTTCGACTCCGTTTCCCGTCACTTGCCTCCATTTCCCCTCTCAGCGTCTTCTCACCAAACCGCAGCTCAGACTCTCTAGAAAGGGAATCCACCCCTTGGTGCCTAGACTCTGGGGTCTCCGCTCCTTGGTGTAACAATTAATCTTCTCCCAGTGCCTGCCCGTCCCATCCTCCTAGCATCCGGTGCTGTTCTAGGAGGAGCCTAAACGTCCGCCCTGCTGAAGGGGATTGTGGTGCGTAAACAGGATTAACTCTCTAGCCCCCAGCTGTGCTGATTTGCGGGGCAGCCTGCCAGTCCAGTCCCCGCGAGCCCTCGCGTGCGTACAGGGCCCAGCGCGTGGAGCGGGGGATGGGGCAGCCAGCTGCCTCCCTGCTGTCTCTGGGGCTGGCTCTGAGGCTGAGTGCGGTGGAGGGCCACAGTCTCACCAACAGCTGCTCAAAATCTGGGGTGGACAGAGGCAACCGCTCCTAGCTGTGGCCTGCATCCATCAGCTCCTTCTTCCTCCCTGTGTGTCCCCTCCGCCCATCGCACAGCAATAGCTCCCTCCAGCCCGCACTATCCATCACCACGGCCACGACTGCCAGCCCCTCTGCCAGCTATGGGGGATCTACCCGGGCTCGTGCGCCTTTCCATCGCGCTGCGCATCCAGCCCAATGACGGCCCTGTTTTCTTCAAGGTAGACGGCCAGCGCTTCGGCCAGAACCGCACAATCAAGCTGCTCACCGGCTCCTCCTACAAGGTGGAAGTGAAGATTAAGCCCACAACACTGCAGGTCGAGTGAGTGTGGGGCGCGCCGGGCGGCAGGGCGTTAATACCCCGGGTATGGGAGGAGCACAGAGGCCCCAGGACATCCCTAGCCTCCCCTTGGTCCCCCTTAGTCTCTTCCGTGCTCAGCGGGATCTGGAGTGAAGGCAAGAGTGAACGCCCTGTCCCCAAGCTACTCTCCCGCCCTGAGGTTGTAGTCCTGCACCCCAGCTTCCTTCCATCCTTTTCTGCGAGTGCCTTTAAATCTGCGACAAGAAGCCAGGATTTGGGGCTTTTGTTGGGTTTTGGGGCTTGCTTTGTTTCATTTTCTTGTAAATTTCTCTTCCGTTCAGCTACAACGGGGAACCACAGGTAGACAGGGTGGGGCAGATGGTAGATGTGGGGGGGTTCAGCAACTGCAATCCCATCCCTCTCCTGGATCCTAGGCTCTTCCTCTGCTTTTGCTGAGGAGACTGAAACGGTGGGGGAGGGCTGAGGAATGAGAACCTCAGTGGACAGATGGTCACTGGGTTCCCTGAGGGACGCTCCCCACTACTCCTCTTCAGAGTTAGTGGCACAAATTCGAGGGTACCGCCAGTGCTGGGGCCTACCTTTATGGTTTTCCATGCGCTCTACCTTTTCTTTGCTTCCTGGCTGAATTTTGGGGTCAGCCCGGTGATGTTACCTGTGGTCTAACAACACCTTCACAAGACGGGTGTAAAACAGGGGAGTGGTGTATGGGGAATAATTCACACGTGGGTCTTAGATTCCTTTTCTGTTGCTGGGATAAAATTCCCTGGCAAAATCAACTTCAGGAAGGTTTTGTGTGGCTCACGATTCGAGGTTGCTGTCTGTCACGTGACAAAATGAAGGCAGCTGGAACTTGAAGAAGCTAGTCAAAATTACATCCAGAGTCAAGAACAGGGATCAGCGGACTGATGCATACATTCCCGTGCCCAGTGGCTCCCTCTTTTTCCTTAGTCCAGAGCCCAACCCATGAGATGGTCCCCTCCACTTTTAGGGTGGCTCTTCCCACCAGGATTAAACTAAATAAGAAAATCCTGCACAGACATAACTTGAGGCCAAGCCATCAAGACACTCCCTCACTGAGACTCTTCCCAGGTGGTTCTAGATTGTGTTGTCAAGGCGACAACTGAGACAAGCCATCACAGGGTCCTGTATCTTTCACCTAAACACTGCGGGGTGAGGTCTAGTTTATGAGCAAGAACAAAACAAAACTCACGTATGCTGAGGAAGGAGGGGCCTGTGAATCCATCACATATATACTTTTAGTTTGATTGAACTCAGTAAACTAATTTTATTTAGGCTTCACGACACAAAGATCTGTAGCCACACTTGGATGGTTTCTGATATTCCATTTAGTCCATCAGCATCCCCCAAATCTCCACCTCACAGGTGCCCGCACCCGTTGTCCTCACATCGCCCAGTTGTCTCTGCACTTGTAGCCAGGTTTCTCCTTTCTCACCTGCCCTGACATTTACCCTCATGTATAAGCGTTATTCTCCCTTAACTCCGTCCAGAGAGCAGAAGTAGTTGATCTGTGATCATAATACTGCTTAGTTGGACAACTCTAACCTCCTGAGCTTTCAGAGGTTGCTACCGTATGTCTTCCTTAACCAGACCCTACGCGTTTCCTCTCTATGATTTTGGTTCAGACTAGAACAGGATACCTGAGCCAATTCCGACCGTCCGTGCTCAACTCAAGTCCATTGCAGGAACATTTCCATTGGTGGCGTGCTTGTCCCACTGGAGCTGAAGTGCAAAGAGCCTGAGGGTGACAGAGTTGTCTACACGGGCATATACGACACAGAAGGCGTAGCTCCTACCAAAAGTGGAGAGCGGCAACCTATCCAGATCACCATGCCGGTAAGTCCAAGGTTGGAGGTGTGGGGGTGTGGTTTCAGATCAAATGGAAACTGCAGGGGAAAAAAAATCACTACCTCCTTAAGAATAAGAAAAGATGCTTTGGAGCCAGTTACTATGACAATTGGCTTCAGTTTCCCTCATGGATCTATGAGAGAGTAATGCAACCGATGCTGTTTTGCACGACAGACTGAAGTTTCAGACATTAAAGATGCCAGGTAATTGGTTCTGGGAGGGATAATGACTATGTTGCCGTGTTCTGTGTTGTGCTCTACATAAGGATTTGTTTAAATCATTCACTCTGGAAAGATTGCGGTTCTACATACCTCACAGACCCTTGAATGTGAAAAAAAAATCTCTAAATAAATAACATATTGCTCTTTAAATGCACTCTAGCTGAAGAACCCTAAAAAAGTGACTGCTATACTAAGCAATAAGATCCTAGTCCTTTTATGCCATGTGCAATCATCCCTCTGTACTCATGGGAGATTCATTCCAAGACCATTCAAAGATGCCAGATCCACAGATGATTATCCCTGACACATAATGGCTCAGTATTTGCATATAACCTATCCATGCCATTGCATACACTTTAAATCATCTTTAGAGCATGACTGTTATGTAAATACTTCTTGTGTGACATTCTTTAGGAAATGATGATGCATGCTCAATACACACACCGTTTTCTTCTGAGTGTTTTCTGGTCCAGGTTAATTAATCCATGGACATAGAGTCTAGTAACATAAAAGGCATGTGTATATTACAAGAAAATATTTACCACCAAGGAATATTGACATCAAATAGATGAAAGAATAGAGCTGACAAGTAAAGCTAGTTAATTGTATGTGCACACACAGTAGACGACGCAGTAAGCTTGCTAAAACACAGGAGCAGACTACTGTAAAAACTGGTCAGTCTTTTCCCTCGGAAAGAGCAGCTTTGCATTGTGTGCCCTCTGCTCCTATAGAGGAAGGAGATCACAGCGTTTCCCAAATACCCGTATAAGAAAAAGTTTCCTCTGAAGGTTACTCAAAAGTTCAGTCCTAGTTCCAGAACCAGTGTTTTTGGTCTTGTTTTCGTTTTTAATTTAACGGTAGGTAAGTTAGGATCAAACAAACAGACACACCTACAGAGAACCAACCCTGATGAGAATGATCTGTGGAATCCCCTTCAAGAGACTTGATCTAAGATCTTATCCATCCCATCTGATAAAACCTCAAGGTCTCACCGTGTCCAATATCCTTGAAACAACTGCAATGCTTGCCTAAGGAAAGAATCTAGGGGCCCGTCCTTTTGAGGGATATATTTGAACCCCTCTTGTAAGGAATTCTATTTTCCACCAGAGATTCAACAGAGAAAAATATAAAACTGTGGAAAATACTAATTTCTCTTAGAGACAATATTTTAGTCCCTGTTCTTAGAAAGTTGCTTCTGCTATGTCTTTCCATATATGCATAGGGTTTTTTCTTAAGTACATAGACATCAGAAAACGTTAAGTATGAAGCATGGAATTTGAAGTCTGTTATGTGAGTGTGTCAAAATCTCCAATACCTACCGGTGGTTTCCATTTCTCACTACTATAAAGAAACCCACTTTTAAGTTTTACTCACTTCTGCAACGTTATTGTTTACTTGGGGTAGATTTGCAGAAGGAATGTGCATGCTAGGGGGGTTTTATGAACATTGACCTCTAGGAATGCAAGCAGAGTCTGGATCAATGGCTGAGTAGCCCGCCACTAGCCTGGCAGACCCAGAGTCCTCCTGGTGGAAAGAAAGAACCCCAATTTAGGCTGCACTTGGCACATATACCCACACAAGAAATGACAGAATAGTTAATAATAATAAATAAATGTGATCAAAAAACACTTTTAAATGTTTTAACCCTGAAAGAATATTTTAACATTTATGTTTCTAATTACTGTTGACTTGAGATACTTGCCATTTGTACTCTCTGCCTAGATTAACTTTTATCCCTATCTCAACCTGTGCATATTACTAACTCCAATAAATCTTAAAGTGATCTTTTACTGTATTTTAAATGTCCTTATTATTTACCATCTATTTACTTTGGTCATAATATAAGTTTAATTTTTCTAATGTAGCCCAAAATATTAGTCTTTTCTTTTATGACTTTTGCAGTTAGCACCAACCCAGAATAGAAAATCTTTTCTAATTCTGAGATTTATTATGCATACATATAAACACAACTACATTTGTATATTTTCATTTATATTTTCATGGTTTCATTTGTTAAAGTTTGGATGAACTGGAATTAAATATTATTTCAGTTCATATCATTCTATTGGAAGGTAAGGTTGGAATTAACTCCTAAAATAAGATGAACTTAAATATTTTATTTAACATATTGGTAGATTCAATGGGATAAGAATTTTCATATTATTAATTTTTATTTATTTTTTCAGCAAGGACTTGAGAATTTCCTATATCGGGGCCCTACAGACAGAACCGTGAGAAAAAAATAAATAATCCTGATTTCACTGAGCTTCTAATCTTAGAAGGCAGAAACGTATTTCATATGATTATCAATAATGATGTAAACAGTAGCGAGTATAAGCCAAGCATGATGGTGCATGCCTACATGCACTGATAAGGTCGGAGCAGCATTGTGAGTTCAAAGCCACCCTGTGCTGCATAGTCAAACCCTGGCAAAAGACATAAACAGCTGCTATTATAAAGCGATAATGAATCTGTATAGGACCTTGGGAGGGTATGCCAGCAGTGGTATGTTAGTTCAAGATTAGGAAAAAAAATAAAGGATGAGAGGCTGGAGGGCAGATTTACAGTGAAGAACAATTGCTGCTCCTGAAGAAGTTTGGTTCCTAGCACCCACATCAACTAGCTTGACCACTTATAGCTCAAATTCCAGGGATCTGATGCCCTCTGCCAGCCTCTACAGGCACCTGTGCATAAACTCAGGCAGGCATATAGACATACACGTAAATAAAAACCAATGAGTCTTGAGAGGAAAGAAGGAGTCCTCCATTGAATACAATATTCTTGAGACTCTGCCATGCCACATGTGTCAACTCTGCTGTGTGTGTTGGCTCAGGTTATCAGTGGATAGTACATTTTATTTCAAACTTCCTTTTTCTCCTTATATGCAGGTGCATAGTGTTGTTGGGGTTTCTGTCCTGCCTGGTTCTCGCAATCCTTAAGTCCCAAAGAAATCACACAGAGTTCTACATTAGTTATAAACTGATTGACCCATTAGCTCAGGCTTCTTATTAACTCATAACTTATATTAGCCCATTATTCTTGTCTATGTTAGCCATGTGGCTTGGTACTTTTTTGGCTAGGCAGTCACATCTTGCTTGCTCTGGTCTGGATCAGGACTGCAGACTAAGAGTTCCTTCTTCCCAGAATTCTCCTTTTCTCATTGATCTGCCTCTACTTCCTGTCTGGTTGTCCCGCCTATACTTCCTGCCTGGCTACTGACCAATCGGTGTTTATTTAAAATATAATAGACAGAATACAGACCATTGTCCCACATCAGCATAGCTTGATTATTTTCAGCTTTTGGCATTTTATATATAAGTATACAATGAGCATCAAAGTATAGTTCTCAACTAGAAAACATTTTCATTTCCTTTGAGTTGATAACCAAGAAGAGAATAATTTCTAAATCACAGGATCAGTGTACATTTAACTATATAAGAGATATCCATGTTGGAGAGATGGCCTGACACTTGCTGCTCTTCCAGAGGTCCTGAGTTCAATTCCCAACAGCAATATCAGGCAACTCACACCTGCCTGTAACTCCAGCTCTAAGTCTAATGCTTCCGTGCCCCTGAAGGTACCTACACTCATATCACAACCACACACATACACACACACACACATTTAAAAATAAAATAATTCTTATTTTAAATATCCAGATTGTTGCAACTGTTTTTTTCTACCAGAAATGTTGTGTAAATCCTAGTTGCTTTAAATCTTTAATGGATGCCCATCTTTAAATTTAGAAATGAACGAGACCTATAATATTCAACAAATTTTGATTTGCAATCTATATTGATTTCCTACTTTAGAACTACAAGTTTATATTTAAAACTTTCGGTTTTCCTTTCAGGCCATTATATTTTTATAGAGATTTTAAAATTAGCTTGTATATTGATTCAATCATTGGGCTGTTGTATTCGCATCAAATCTATAGGCCAGCCAGGTGTGATAGCATACTCCTGTTAGTCAGAGCTACTAACTCAGGAGACTGGACAAGAGGATAGTTTGTGTCCAAGAGTTCACAGTGGGGCTGTGAGACATGAGACATCGTGTGGAGGAGGAGGAGGAGGAGAAGAGGAAGAAAGGGGTAGTCTATACATATAATCACATCAGTTGGAAAGCCCAGGGAGAAGGAACACTACTAGACAACATTCAAAGGCTGTGTGAGGGGGAGAAAAGCAATGAGTATTTACAAATTAATTTTTAAAAATTTAATAGCTTTGTACTGAGTCTTTTAATCCATTAATATGTCTATTTAAAATTCTCAGTTTTCTCTCATCTTCTATATAATAGGTTACAATATTCCCTATATGGTTTCATTAATTTTTTAAAAATTTACTATTGTTTCATAGTTTTCTATGCTACCATAATGGAATTCTTTTCATTGCTGGTATGGATGTAAACTTAGTTTCTACATTAATCTTCAGTCCTAAAATCTGGAAAATCTTGTTGATTTGTTCTGTATCTCTTCTTGTAGAATCCTTATTAATTTCTACATATGCTGTCATTGAAAGATATTTTTCTTCTTTCCTTCCCATCTCTATTCCTTTTATTTATGGCTTGGTTATAATAGCTAGGAACTTCAGTATGATGCTAAGTGTAAATGGTGAGAGTTTTTCTTGTCTCTCCATCTTCAGAAGACTTCAGTTTTTAACAGTATAATGTTAGCTATATAGTTTTTATTTTTTTTCAAGGTAGTTTTTTTTTAAAGATTTATTTATTTATTATGTACACAATGTTCAGCCTCCATGTGTCCCTCCAGGC